TAACTTCATGGTAATTACAGCGAAGGAGGGAACACTCCAGAGGAAAAGATTATTATTTCTGGCTCAAGGGAACAAAAGAAGCTTTCATAAATGATGTGAGGTTTTATGTGGGTCAAGATATGAGAAAGGCGGTATCACAATATTTTTGACACTGGCCATGTTTTTGATACATTTACTCATCATAACAGCCCATAAGAGGTAATAACCTCCAGCCCCCATTTCAGATGTGGGAACTGAGACTGTATCCGGTGACGTTCCCAGAGCCACATGAACATTGCAATGAGTAGTAGAGTCAGGATTTTAACTTGAGGAGTCTGATGCTTGGAAATAAACTCACTAAGGTACAATGCCCGGGTACCTCAGCCCGGCATTCTGAGGTCACACTTACCTAGGCTTGAAGCCTAATTCTGCCACTTACTCATCATGGGGAAAACTTTGACCTTATCTTCCTTCATTTGCATTTCTGTAAAATGAGGAAAATAACACTTATTGTGGTCTGAATGAATGGCCAGCTACACTTGGGCAGTTGCCGAGAGAGAAGACCACCTGGCTGGTCACTAAGAAGACACTGACTGGTGGGCTCACTGCCACTCAGGGGCCGCTTCCCTGCCAGCATCCCAGAGCCGGTCAAACTCAGGTTGACTCTCCCACAAGCACAAAACCTACGGGGTCCAGGCACCACCCTGGGAAGACCTCAAATATTGCTGGGTTACTGCTGACTTGGAAGATGAAGGGAGCAGAACACCAAGGCATGGAGGCCGCCCCTAGAAGCAGGAAAAGGAAAGGAAATAGATGCGCTCTAGAGACCTAGAAAGGAATGCAGACCTGCTCACGTGGTTTTAGCCCAGTGAGGCCCATTTTGGACTTCTGAGCCCCAGAACTGTAAGAAGGTAACTTGTGTTGTTTTAACGCCACTAAGCAGAGATAATCTGTTATCGCAACAACAGGAAACTCACACGCATGCTGGGATCATTCCCACCCTAGGGCATTTACGCAGGCTGCTCACCACTGGTACCCTCTGGTCATCTCTGATATATTAGCATCGAGGACATTTCCCCCATCATGGGGTCCAGATGGGGTCTCTGTTTCCATTGCACCCCTTTAGAAAGACTTTCCCAGACCACTCAAAGGAGCCTCCTTGTTACTTGATCATGTGACCTGTTTTATTTTTATCATGCCAATGATCACTTCTTGTTACTTTCCTTTTTATGCCATTATTGTACTACACAAAGAAAGCTGGTCTTGTCACTCATTTTTCCTGGTAGCCCTAGTATCTAGAGGAATGCCCAGCACAAAGCAGGAGTTCAATGTATGTTTGTTGAGTAACTAACTGAGCGTTGGTTCCAAGCGAGGCAATGCACATCCACCGTCCCATTGAATCTTTTCAACAGCCTGATAAGATAGAATTCCTACTGCCATTGTGCTAGACATAAAGTTCACGAAAGCACTCACAAGGTGTACTGTGTTCTTGGCAGATAGTAAACATTCATAAATATGGGAAGCAAATGAGCCACATTCAAAGAGATTGAGTAACCAACATAAGGAGCACAACTTAAAAGTAAATATTTGCTACATTAATGCCTGTGGTTTTCCTCATCTATTGCTGAGGAATCCTGGAGCTCCAGCATCTCTGTCCTCATGAGCTCAAGCCTCCATTCGCCTGCCTTCTGGACACCTCTGTCACACGCCCTGCTGGCCTGGGACACAAGGTGTAAACTGAATGTGTTTTCTCCTCCCAAATCTACTTTGCAAAGATCCCCCTGGCTGAGCCGATGGCACTAGCATCTCAGACACATTCGGGGAGTCATTTGGGCTGCTTCACCATTGCCCTAAAGATAACTCATTTATTTTTGGTTCTTCCTATTTAACAGTTCTTGTACTAATTGCCTTTCTTGCTCTGTTGACTTAATACTTCTTCCTGGACTATTTGTTCCTCTGTTTCTGAAGTAATCTCTCCAGAAAAACAAGATGTGTCATCATTAGCTCATTTAAAATCCTTCAGCCGCGTCCTCCCACCTTCTAAGCCCTTTACAACAAAGTGGAGGGTCACACACAATCTGTTCCCTGCCTGGGTCTTCTCCCTCCCTACGTCCCTGCCCCTTCACCGACTGGTGTAGCTAACCTGACCTTGAATTCCACTGTGTCAAGTTTTTCTCTGCTGAGCAATAACTTTTTCCCACCTGCCTGTCATCTTGTACATTTTAGGGATACCATCTGGAACCTAGATTATTTGCAACACTCCATTGTTTCCCTATTCCAGTTTGTAAGCACACACTTGTTTACAACCACACTTGTTTACATCTGTCTCCTCTGCAAGACTGTAAGCTCCTGAGGGCAAGGTTTTGGTGTCTGTTTTTGGTCACAACTGAATGAGCAGCAGGGAGACACGACTGCCACGCAGTGGAGGCACATTAAATATTTGTTCGACAAACAAATATAATCTTTATTAAATAAACTCTTCCTGTGTCTTTTGAAGAAGCATGCTGGCACAGCATGTTTGGGATGATGTCGGGTGCCGTGGCATGGGTGACACAGAAAATATGAGGTGAAGAGGCAAGGGAAAGGACAAAATGACAGGAAAAAATAAGTGAGAGGGAAGTGACAGAATCATTAAAGAAAGGGAGTAATGGAAAAAGGAGAAGGTGGCCAGGGCCTGGTGGTGGGTTGAATGGTGGCCACACCAATGACAGGCCTACGTGCAATCTGGGGAAGCTGTGAATGGTCTTGTGTAAGATTCCCAGGGTTGCCTTTCCAAAGTACCACAGACCGGATGGCTTGAAACAACAGAACTTTATTATCCCCAAATTCTGAAATCAGGGTGTCAAAATCATTGGCTCCTTTCGGAGGCCATGATGGAGAATCTGTTCCATGCCTCCCTCCCAGCTTCTGGCGGTTGTTTCCGAGTTGAACCCTTGGTGTCTTCGGGCCTGTAGACACATCACTCGAATCTCTGCTTCCAGGTTCACACGACTTTCCCCTCTTCTGTCTCTTTGGTGAATCTTCACATGGCCAATCCCTGGATTTAGGGCCCATCCTAATCCAGTGTTACGTCATCTTAACTAAGTACACCTGCACGACTTGATTTCCAAATAAGGTCACATTTGGAGGTTCCAGGTAGACACAAATACCTGGGGGACTATAATCAATACAGTAGTTTCCTAATTTGGAAGGATGTTTGCACATAAATTAAGGAGCTTTTAAAATGAGATAGTTCTGGGTCATCTGAGTGGGCCCTAAACCCAATGACAAATGTCTTTACGAGACACACGCAGAGAAAGAGAAGACTGGACGGACAGAAGAGGAGGCACTATGAAGACAGAGGCAGAGACTGGAGTGACGTGGTCATAAGCCAAGGAAATCAAGTATTGCTGAAGAACCACAAGAAGCTGGAAGAAGCAGGAAAGGATTCTCTCCCTAGAGTGTCCAGAGGAAGGTGGCCTTGCTGACACCTTGACTTTGGACTTCTGGCTTTCAGAACTATGAGAGAAAAAAATTCTGTTATGTGAAGGCTAACGGTGTTCATTACAGCAGCCATGGGAAAGTAATACAAACCTCAGTGTAACAGAATTCACAGTGCCTTGTATTGTTTTCCTTTGAGTACCATTAAAAAAACAAACAAATAAAAAAACTTTTCCATGAGTTAGATTCTGCTCTAAACAGAGCAAAGACTACTTGCTTGGTAAATGGGAATTTTTGAACAGCCATAAAGTTAAGCTAGCTCAATTTCTGGAAGCATAACGTTTAATGATCTTTTAATACAAGGGCATACCTTCAATCACTGAGATTTATGGCTCTTTAAACCTAGTAGGAAATTACTCTAGGAAACTAATTGTGTTTTAAACTATCTTTTCATGTATCTCCACTTATCTTGTGACTGCCCCATAATTAACATCAAATTTTATCACACCTCATGTGCTTTCTCTTTTTAAATTATTTAATGTTACTGTGTTTCCCTATTAAGCTTTTTATCTTGGTATTCACTTTTTGTTATTCTGCGTTTTTATAATTAGATGACACTGCGTGCTGTGGAACCTTCACCTGGTAACACAAGGCACGAGTTGGCTTAGTTTCTGCACAAGTCATGTCATCAAGATAAAAGCTAAGTTAATAGAGGAAAATACAGGATGATCTCATACAATCTTTGAATAAATTCAGAATTAAAGTCTGGCATCCCTGAACGATCCCAGAAGCCCCTTCCCAACCTTAAGTTCCATCCATAGTTAACTATTGAACTATTATTAAAGACTAGACTACTAAAATGTCACACAGTATTCTATTTATTTGGGTGAGTACTGGGGAGGCGTTGATGATCCTGCAAGCTCTAGGGATAGGAAGTCCGGTCATGAAACTGTCAATGTCTCTTGGTTGCCAGAAAACACCCGGAGGGAGAAACTAGGGGTTGAATTGACTCTAGCACGTGGGGCAATGGAAGGCAGGGGACCCCCTCTATTTGGCCTGCCCCTCACCACTTTTGCCTTGGGGTCCCTGACCCCTTTCGCCAGTTGTCCTACTGCCCCAGAAGAAGATCTGGTCCCCACCTCTTGCAATCCTCCCCAGTCCCCGCAAGCGTAGGCAAGGGTGCTCCAGGCAGAGCGCCCACCGCAGGCGACCGCCTTAGCAGGCTGCAGCGGACGCTGGAAGACTGGGGTCCTGAGGACTTGAGCATCGGATCGGCGTCCAATTTTCACCCCGTCGGGGCTACGGAACCCCCTCCGCCCCGCAACGAGGGAACCGCTTTTCTGTGTGGATTCAGGGACACGTTTAACTCCAGCAGCTGCGGCCAGGAACTAAGTGACTAGGAGTGGCCTCCCCTCCCCCCTGCACACGTCACCGCCGGCGTCGGGGAAGCGCCGTCAAGCACCGAAGAAATGCGCAGATAAAAAACCCTGCACCTCCGCCGCACCTGCGGACAGAGATGTTTCGACCACGCTTACGGCTATCCCTTCTTGCCGTCTCGTGGCGACGCCAAAGAGAACCTCTCGGTAAATGATCTTCAGGGTCGCGGGTGGCTGTACCTAAACGTTTGTCGGAGAGGGACCCTTAATAAGGGTAGATGGCGGTGGCGCTTCACTTCTCCCCCCGCAACAGTCATTCCTAAGGTCCGGCAGGTCCTGAAGTGGCGAGTCTGTCAGCCCCACCCGGCGGCTAGCCTCCTTTTCTCCAACGCCTGTGCTGGCCAGCCTGGCCCAGTTAATTGTCCGCTTCAGAGCATTAGCGCTTGGGAGCGGCCGCCGGAGTGGCTCCGATTCTATGCGCGTCTATTAGGAGGCGCACGGTAGTGATGGCGGCGCTCAGTGAGGCTTTCCTGTCACTGGATACTACTACTCCCAGCCCTCCTAGAAGCCGCCGGAGCAACCCCCTGGTCTTTCGTTTACAAGTAGCAATTTGACTTGCTCTGCTGCATGTCAAGAGGGACCGTGGAAAGTGTGGAGACGCCCCGGGAATTAAGCGATCGCGGCTTAAAAAGAAAAAAAGCCAAACAAACAAACAAAACCCACCCACCCTAACAAACATGAGGCTGCTGGAGAGAATGAGGAAAGAATGGTTCATGATTGGAATAGTGCTGGCGATCGCCGGAGCTAAGCTGGAGCCGTCCATAGGGGTGAACGGCGGTAAGTCTGCACCTCCGCACGCTCCACCCCGATTCCCACTTGAGAACTAATTTGCGAGTCTTGGAAAGGAGGGGAGACCGTAGCTGGGAAGTGTCCGTCTCTCTCGGGCACGCTGACCAGCTCAGGGTGTCCTTTGGCCCTTTCGCTGATGCCTTAATTTTGCCAACCCCAGAGGGTGGTTTGTAACTAGGAATGGGTCAAGCGACTTTGAACGCAGGTTTCCTTTTTCGCGAACAGCCAGCGAGTATCCATAGTGTCAAGGAGTGAGGTTACTGAGAATGAAATGAAACTTAATTTCTCTTCCCTTCAAAGTAGCATCCTACCCCACGGGATGCTAGGTTGCCAGGAGTTCCTTATCTCTCTTGGAGTGGACACTACTATGTTGTCCTCGTCCATTTCCACCCCGCGTTTAAGAAAAAGTTGGGTGAGAGAACGAACAAGGGACACCCCTTCCTCCTCCAGCTCAGATTTTGCGGCCCCCACGTGGGAGAGTGATGATTCGCTGCGGTAGCTACTGCCCTAGAAACTCCCCAGCTGGCTGACACGTTGCACATTTTCATTACAGGACACTACTTCCGTGTGCTGGCGGGACTCAGTTGCTACACTTCGCAGCAGTCCCAACAGATACAGGCTGTGTGAGAGACACCGTGCAGTGTGTGTTTTGGCAAGGAAATGTAGGCGGACTAAAATCACACTCAGAGCCTGAATAGAGGAAGCCTTGTAACGTGGGGATGGGCATTGGTGGGCAGGACTGGAAACGTCATTAGCCTTTTATAGCTCCCCTCCCCCAGACAATCGTGTCCTACTTTTCATAAACATTCATTGAATTTCTTTAATTTATTGTCTTTTTCACCTTGTTTGTCAGACTACACGCTTATTGACAGGTTTAATACATCAGGGGTACAACAGGGACAGATAAAGGAGAGAAGTGAGCACAGGTGATCTTTTTCATGTGAGGAAGCGCTGTGGAGGATATTTGAAGTTATTTGTGCCTTGTTGTTAAAACATGATGGGAGTGAATGCAACGATCTCTCAGGAGGACAGTGGTTCCTTCTACCCTCTCCCTGCAACACCTCACGGACAGGCTGCTTCAGGGAACATTTAAAAGGAATTACTTGAACTAAGATTGTGGGAATTACACCGTTTTTGTTTATTTTATTTTATTTTTCTATATTCAGCTTAGTACAAAATGTGTGGGGTTTATAATTGAGAATAAAGCTGTTACTTGTGGTGGTTCCTCCCCCTGAAGGCACCGTTTCTTCTTTGACATAGCTTTTCAGTGAGCTCTGGGGAAACTTGGGAATGTTGGTATTTCAGGTTCTGTCAAACAAGCCCCCACCTCGCCTGCCCCAGCAGCTAGCTAGTTGGGTAGTGAGAATAAAGTTACAGTGTCTTTGAGGCGATGTGGAATGCACACTTTACTAGCTTCACTAGTGCACTGTATAGCTTCTGGCGTTAGCTCTTTTCATTTGCTCTGTTAAGGTGAAGTTACAGGTGATATGTAATCTTTAAGTCGAGACCTGCAGGGCCTGGGTTTGGTAAAATACCTTTTACATGACATTTCCGGGGTGCCCCGTGGGAAGAAGGGGTGTTGAATGCTGAATCATTTCCCCAGGGCTTCCAGTAGAGTGTGTGAGGCAGATTGTCATCTTATTTCTTCCCTTGGACTCCGCTTCTTGAAGTTTTGGTACATTACTGTACCTTAGAAATACTGTTTCCTATTTTCACTAGTCCTCATGCTGTTGATCTAGGATAATTCATTTCTTTGTTTAATTTTTATAAGAGTAGAATGTTAAGGGCCAAAAGGGATTTTTTTTAAGTATTTTCACCTGACAGGCTGCTTTTACAGCTGAAGGTACTGAGACCAGAGGGCAGGTGACTGACCCGGGGTCCCGTTAGCTAGGGGAGCTGGGGGAGAGGAAGGACTGGAGACCAGGACTCCCCCTCATTTCATACCAGTTGCAAAATCCATACACCTTTCCTTGGTGAAAAATGATGAAAAATGAATGACTATTAATTAACAAGAAGGGCTCTCTGTAATAGACATTTTCTGTGCCCCGATTTTTGGCCCAAAGGAGCAGAGCGGAGTCTGCCCACGTTAGACAACAGTAAACTCATGATTTCTTTGGTAGCTAGCTGTCCATCTGTACAAACAAAAGCTAGGCAAGCAATTCTTCGGAATTTCTTAGACAGGCTGTCAGGCTAAGTGCTTGATGTTTCTGTTGAGCTTTGCACTGACCTTAAGACCTCTTAAATAAAAACAAAACTCGAAAAATTGCCAAGCCACACATTCATTCTACTACTTCATCCAACAGAAATCTCGGAACAAGGAAAGGCGTGGTTGCGGAAAATGCTTCTGTCCTATGCTGCCCCTTAGAATGGTCTAAAGCACCTTTTTGCTTGCTTCTAGCTTTTAGTCAAAGTTTCCATTTATGAGCTCTGTACATTGAGATTGTGATTTTTAATACATTCACATAGGCTGAACAGATTTCAGTAGAACAATTTTCTAGACATTCCTTTAAATGGGAAGAGTTTTGGTATTCTTCCACTCGTTAAGATGCTCCCTTCACCTTTCCCTGAATCAGGGCCTCGATGACTATGCTCTTTATTTTTAAGTGTAAGACTTCTACACTTAAAGTATCACAACTATGATCTGACCTCCCTTTTAAAAAAATCTTCATAGCCAGTTGGTGAGTTGTGTGTGGCAGGAAATTTGTAGATGTGGGAACCCTTAAATTAGAGAGGTTAAATGACTTTCCAGATGGGAAAGAGTACAATAGGTCCTAGCCTAGATGATTTGATTCTTAGTTCACTTTTCTTTTTACTCCCTTACATTTCACTTTTCGACAAACAAAAGAAGGTTGGAACTAAAGAGCCAGAGTAGATGTAAATGTACATACATTCTGAGATGTCATTAATCTCTTCCATTGAGACTCAGGGAAGCCGAGTTGGGCACACCTTAGAGTTTCCGTGTTTTCAACACTGTTATTTATTCTTGGTAAGAGAAAGGGTTACTTCATTGGCAGTAGAGTAACTCCGTCATGTCTACCTGCATCTTAACTTAAATTGTTGCCATGAACAATACATTAACCCTAAAAAGGAAAGGAAGATGACTGCTTCATCTTTCCAGTGGAAAAAAAAAAATAACCAGAAACATGCTATCAGTCTAAGAATATCGGCATGGATATCTTAGATTAGGTTCAGAAGTGAAATTTACTTTGGTGATGAGTAGATTTTATGAAATAGTAATAGTTCATTGCATTCTTAAGCATTTCAAATCATTTTCTTTTCCCTTCATTAAAAAGCACGAGTTCTGGAGACCCAAAATTGCTTCACTTTTTTTTTGGCCAACTTTTCTTTTGACTGTGCTACCTCATTTAACTTTCACTGATAAACACTTGTTGCTTTTGTTTAGAGGAAAAGTTAAAACTTACATTTCTACTTTAGCTTTACAGCCATTTTCAGATCTAAGTCTGGTTATTTTGGTGAGCTGGAGGATATAATCAGTACCTTGGAGCAGACCAGGTATCATTTTAAAATAGTAGTTTCAACTCTCACCTCTGTGCAAATATTTACCAAGCTTTTATTGCAGCCCTGGGTGACTTCTAGTTTTGCATTCAAATGCTGAGCTGTATGTTGGCACCTCTGTGGTCCTGTCTCAAATGGGCCTTAGGTTTCTCCAAATCAGAATGATTTCCTCCTTTCCCTTTTAACGGTATCTTGTAGGTAACCCTGGAATACCCCACCATGTCCTTTCATGGTGTAGAGTTATTTAGAGATGCATCTAATTAAAAAAAAAACAGTATAACCTGTTTCTACAATTTAAAACACTGAAAGTCAAGAATCATTTCACTGATTTATGCCAATTAGTTGATAGTTGTCATGTGTATTTATGTGTGTATGTGAATTGTGGGAAAAGTTCTGTAAAAAGTCAGTTGTTGGCCAACTAAGGTAGGTGCTGTAGCTGCCCCAGAGAAACACGGAATCTAAGCAAATGCCATATGCTTGCTAGGGAGACACACCTGTGGACGTGTCCCCTAGTTGTCACTTGCAACCACATTGCTCACTCTGACCCATCCTAGATGGAAATTCTGGAGTACCACCATGGGCAGAACAAGAATAAGGTCTGATAAAAAAAAAAAAACACACACACAGGAGATTGGAGGAAAATAAAAATGATGCAAGTTTTTAGAAACTGTATTTAAAATTCCTGGGAAGCACCTATTTTCAAAACAAGCCAGACTCCTTGACTCTAAAATCTGTTTCGGAATCACCTTCCTCAGTTGTTGAGGACACATTACTTCTACGTGTGAGCTGCTGAGAAGAGTGAGCTTCTGTTCACTCACAAGTATAATGATAATGTGCCTCCTCCTAAGTGTGTGAGCAGCCTTTACCTGATACGAGATGCTGTTTGCACTCACTTTCTCCCTTTCACTCCCTTTTCTCAAATCTCAGCAAAATGATCTATAAATTCCAGGTAGATGAAAGAATCTATAGCATTGTTTAAGGAGACAATTGTCATATTTTATTAACAGTTGTACTACAAATGCCAAAAATATCATAGTCGCTCAATAAATACCCATTGACTGAATGAATGGTGGTTATTCCTGAGCTTGGAACTCATTAATCTCCGTAGGTGTGGTGGGGAGTTGGGGAAGGCAGGAGCCGTGACTGCGGTGCTGTTGTTTTGCTTAACGGTGTGTCAGTGTTTTAGGACTGCCACAACTAATGGCCACAAACTGGGTTGCTTAAAACAGACACTTATTTAGCCACAGTTCTGGAGGCTGAAGTCTGATCAGACGCCAGCAGGGCCACGCTTCCACTGGAGGCTGCAGATAAGAGCCTTTCCTTGTTTGCTTCAGCTGGTGGTGGCTGCCAGCTCTCAGTGTTCCTCGGTAACAGGGCTCCAGGCTCTGCCTCTGTCTGCACATGGCCATCGTCTCTCTGTGCGTGACAGAGTCCAAGTTTCCCTCTTTTTATAAGAATACCAGTCATGGAGCCCCGGCTGGTGTGGCTCAGTGGACTGAGTGCCAGCCTGCAAACCAAAGGGTCGCTGGTTCGATTCCCAGTCAGTGCACATACCTGGGTTGTGGGCCAGGTCCCCAACAGGGGACCTGGGAGAAGCAACCACACATTGTTGTTTCTCTCCCTCTCCTCCTCCATCACTTTCTCTAAAAATAAATAAAATCTGAAAACAAGAAAAAAAGAATACCAGTCATTGGATTAGGGTCCATGGTAATCAGATAAGACCTCATCTTAATTTGATCACCCATACTTTGCTATGTATAATGTACACTCACATTTAACACTCATTATACACGGGATTCATTGTTATGTCCATGGTGTATAATCATTACACCCATGTATAATGTGCATCCTTATTTTTTCCCTCAAAAACTTGGGCAAAAAAGTGCACATTATACATGATAAAATATGGTACATCTGTAAAGACCCTACTTCCAAATAAGGTCACATTCACAGGTTCTGGGCGGATACAAATTTTGGAGGGGACTCTACTCAACCCAGCACAAGAGGCCTGAATGGAATGTCAGCTATGAGATAATCTCGGATTTCAAACCGTTCTCGGGGGGTTTCTCAGCCACAGCACTACTGCTGGCTGGAGGCCTGCCCTGAGCCTCCCACGGTGTGGAGCAGGATTCCCGATCTCTGTCCACTAGATGCCAGTCATACCTCCTGGTGCCTGAGTTAACTCAACCGAGAAATGTCTAAATGTTGCCCGATGTCGGCTGCCCCTGCCAGAGAATCACTTGTATACAGGCATAAAGTGGTATTTTCTCAGACTATGTCTTTTACAAGGATGTTATCCATTGGTTAGCACATTAGGTCTTTAAGCCAATTGTGTACAAGCCACAAAAACGAATAAAGGTTAGGGTCTCCCCTATCATACTCACAACGTTAAAGCCCCTGGGATGATGCCAGCCCAGCTTTGGAGAGAATTTTTCTGGAGGGCAAAGATCAGGCCTGTCGGGTTCACTGCAGTGCACCCGGGGCTAGGCACACTTTCATGCTGTTTACAGTCTGGACAGCAGATGGTTGAGCGCTCTTCTTGCTCTGTCTGCATTGTCTCCATCACACAGCGAGTGCCCAGTCAACAGTCGTAGATTGAATACTCTTGGGGAGAACTGAATGCATGAATACAAGCGTTTCTTTCTGGTGTGCTGGAAGAAATAACATGCTGTTTGCTAAAGACATGTAGCTGCTTCCGTTGATTCCCTCCCTCCGGTGTGGGGAATGTCCGTTGCTATGTGAGCGCTGACGTGGCGGTGGACACTGGGCGGGCCCGTGTTGAAGGGCGGTCACTGTGTGCGGTCCCGTGGGGAGCGGGGTTCACTTTCGTTTCTGTGCTCGAAGGACGCTGTGCTGCACTGGCCAGCCGCGGCCCTTCCCTCTGGAAACTCCTCTCTGGAATTAGACTGTGTCACAGCAAACGCCTAACTCTGTGAGGACAGCAGTGTCAACACTGAGGTCCCGAGTACTGTTTGTCCTTCTCCGGGGGATTTGTCTCTTTCACTCAGGAAGACTAGAAATGCCCATCTAACAGTAACTCATTTTTCTCTCTTCAGGACCGCTGAAGCCAGAAATAACTGTCTCCTACATCGCTGTGGCAACAATATTCTTCAACAGCGGACTCTCATTAAAAACAGAGGTACTGTCACCTATGGGGCACAGGCAAACCAGGGAGAAAAATTGAATTTGTACTGCCTATTTTGAAATGTCAGAATCCTTTTGTAAATGTGTGCGCACCAGTAGCCCAAAGGCCTCACTCACTGTGACAGAAGCTAACCTGGACTTCGGCATAGGACTTGTGCTTTGTACCTGCAGAGTCTGGAGACTTTGTGGGTGAGCAGCATGGACCCTGAGGAGGGCTTACGATCCGTGGGCTTATAACACGGCCACCGAAGTGAAGCAGCTCCTTCCAGTCTCCCCTGCTGGGTGCCTCTAGGCTGTTCGTGTTTGTTGGGGTTTCCGTAACTTTGTGGACCTGTGGATGTTCCCAGGACTGAAGCTGCTCAAGCGATACTTGTAATGACTTTTAACTAATTTGTATTTTTTAAAAGATTTTTTATTTATTTATGTTTAGAGAGAGAAGGGAGGGAGATAGAAAGAGAGAGAGAGACATCAATGTGCAGTTGCTGGGGGCTGTGGCCTGCAACCCAGGCACGTACCCTGACTGGGAATCGAACCTGCGACACTTTGGTTCGCAGCCCGCGCTCAATCCACTGAGCTACGCCAGCCAGGGCTAATTTGTATTTTTTAAAGTATATTCTTTGCTAGCGTGTCTGTTAAATGCTGGTAGATGTTTTAAGGAAATATTGGTATTTTTTCATAGGAAGTCACAGTCCATCGTGATGACATCCAGGTCACATTATTTACCGCTCCAGGTGTCACTGAACATGGGATTTCTTAGAATGAAGGAAATCCAGACATTTTTATACCCCAGATAGGAACAAGGAGAATTTATGATTCCCTTTTGAGTTTTAATGGAAGAAAAAAGTAGGGAAAAAAGTAGGGAATTTGCTTTTGAAGAAATTGGAGTTTTAAAAGTTGTCATTCTAAGATGTTTAGTCCTATGCAGACAGGAAAATCTTACCATGTAATAAGGATTTTTTTTGGTGGGGGGGATGACTTTAAAACTTAAAATTCTGTTTGTGCACCATATCTTGCCTCTACTTAAAGTTTTTTTCTTTTAAATGTGGTTTGAATGAAGATCAAATCTACCTCCTTCCTTTTGATCATCCCCGTAGCAACATGGGGAAAAATATGTGGTTTTCCTAAATTTATGTATTCTGCAGTTAGCAGGTTGGTATAAATTGTGTCTCCAGAATGCTAAATACTCTTACGGACTGCTGGTCTTCTGAGAATAGCTTACATGGGTGGGATTTCCTAAATATGTCAAATTCCAGTTTCTGTCAATTTTATTGACACAACAGGACTATGATTAGTACTTAGAGGGCATAGGGTTTCTTCTGTCAACACCAGAGCTCCAATGGTCCGCCAGTGTGGGACACAGTGGTCTGGAGAGGCACATGCTGCTCCCGTGGTGCTGGTCTGGTCTCCCTTGGGGGGGTCTTCCTGAGGGCCCCGGCTGGTGCTCTTTGTGAGGCAGCTGCCTTGCCCACGCCCCTTACTTTGGACGTTGTTCTAACAACGTCCCCCGATGGTTGTGTAATGGCTACTACAACTGTATTTAATGCCAGGGGGAACCTGGCAAGAGACTTGATTCTTACCTTAGCTTCTTGCTTAATGCAATTCTGTAAAGCAGCCAATTTCAGGGGATGCAGGAGTTGAAGAAGGAATGCCACAGTTATTGGTGTTTCCCTAAGGACCAAGTTCTTCTGTAAGCCTCTAAGAAACCTTCAGAGTCATCTCGCTAATTGAGATCTAATGAGGAAATGCCTTGATCCCTGTGTATTCTCATGGTATCTAAGTGGCCATCAAAGCTGTTTCCTCCATAAAAGATGCTTTTGAAACTAATACAGCATTAATTCATTTTCAAGATCCATTTAACTTAAAATGCCCTAGATCAATTGCATCCTTGTCTAATGTTAAACCACCTCTAGGCCCTGCTAATTTCCCGGGCAACCAAAGAGCTCTAAGTTAGAAGGTCGCAACCTGGTTGTTAGTTGTCTTCTAGTTAATAACCTTAAATTAATTTCAGCCGGGACAGCTATATTTTATATCCTGCTAGGTCTTAGAATAGTGCATTTTTTTGCACATAGAAGGTGAGTTATTATTTATTTGAGTTTATTTTAAAGCATTTACAGTGCTCCCATTCAAGTTTGATTCATAGTGAACATTTCATGTAGTATTTATTACTCATACACTGATATAATATGTGTATTCTAAAATTTGTTTGTTAAAATTATAAAGAACTCTGTGTTAATACTTCATGTTAAAAAGATTCAATGCTAAATCTTCAGTTTTATAACTATTGATTTCTAGTTTTTGAAATACCTGTTGAAATGGTTTCTGAAATTTTACTGTACTGCAGTGTAATAAGGTCCCATTTGAAGTATGTGTGTATTTGATACAAAGCTAACTCCAAACCTACAGTTTCAGAGGACTTTTCAGTTAGACGGTGGCAGGACCAAAGTCATTTAGACAAATAGCCTGGGAAGTGCCTCTCGCCACAAGGTGCTGTGCCTGGGGCTGGGGCAGAAACAGAGATGGGCGGGAAGGAAGCTCAGGGCCGGACAAGGGTCCTGAGGAGAGCAGAATATGCAGGTTCTCCTTCTTTTCCTAAGCGGATTATTTTTTAAAGTCCCATTTGCTCAGAAGTAAATATAGCAAATCTCAAACTTTAGCCTCATGCTGCTTGATTCCATCCCAGAGCCATCCAGAGCCATGAGGCTGACCCCCACAAATCAAATAAAGGATATGTATATTTCCATTTCTGGGTTAGAAGGGAAATTGGTATGTAATGAAAATATTTCTGCATCTCAGTCAGAGTTGCTGATTTTAAGCCATTCTTGATGCTGTCGGTGAGACTCTGGTATAATCAGTATGCGGAGTGTCTCCTTAACTTTACTTCAATGGAATTTGACTGGTATTACATGTGAAAAAACAAAATGTTATGCAGAATCAACTTTTCAATTATTCACAATGACATCTATTAGAATATGTGGCCCTAAATTCCACATGGACATATATGGAATAATGCTACTTTGGATTTTATGGTGTTACTTGCTGTTTCTTTTCCTGTGTCACCTTATTTCTGTTTGATGCTGCAGGAAATTCTAGAAAATACATAACACTGGGTTTTTGTGACAGTCTTGAAAATCTTTCTTAGGAGCACTTCACGTCTGTTAATCTCCCTGTCGTTAAGAGGCCTCTTATGACCTCGCACAGTAGGCCCTTGTGATTCATTCACTGGGTCCCTTACTGTTCCGTTGTTCTGACGTGATATCAGTTGTTTCTAACTGTCATTTACTAGGTCAGCCAGTATCCTTGAACTGTATTTTATTTTTCACAGCTCTTCTGATTTCAGAGGTGGTATTTCCCCATTGCACAAAGATTAGAAAGAGCAAAAATAACTGTTATAACATCTGTGTGTTTTTAAGTTCTTTTTTCTTAAACATATTTCACATATAGAATATTTTTAAATAAAACATTTTTTAAAATTGTACATATATATTTAAGTATGTATATAGGTCTATCCATACTTGCATACATATACCCACATATACATGCATATATGATCCTATTTTTTCCATGTGACATTGTATAATAATAACTTTCATATACTTTAGTACTTTCTAATTTTTCTTCACTTATATATTTAAAAATAACTTACATTTTGTTTATCTTTATGTACATAAGTCAAGAGGTACAAAACTATAGATGGTGAGAAGTCTTCTTTTCACCCTCTCCCAGCGGTCCATCCAGTTCTCTGCTCTGGAGACAACCAATGCCAACAGTTTCCGTGTATCTTTCCAGAGATACTGTATGCTAAGGGGAGATGCATACGAACCCCCCCTTTAAAATGTAGCATTTTATACTGTTTGCCTTCTTTCCTTTATTTAACTCAAAAATGTATCATGGAGATTATTTTATATCAACATAAAAAGGACTTCCTATTTCTTTTTGTGAGCTGGAAAGTATTCCAGTTTATGGATGTATCATGATATATTTCCTTGGGCCCTTGTTGATGGACAGTTAGGTAATACACAAGGTTTCGCTCTTACAAACTCGCTACAAAAGATAACCTAAACATATGCCATTTCCCATCTTTGGGAGCGTATGTGAAGGGTTAACTCCTGGAAGTGGCATGGCTAGGTCAAGTGCTATGTGCAGTGTAAGTTGGGGGAGGTGGACCAAGCCCTAGAGAGGTGGTGGGTGCTCAGTATTTGTCCAGTGAAGGAATGAGATGCCAGACCATGGTCCATGGGGTGTGCTGGTTTGCCTGCTGCCTAAGTGGGGGAGACCCCGCCCTCCTACATCCTTGTTGACAGTTTTCACTTGGTTTATAGTAGCTCTTACGCTGTTTAATTCTTAAGTTATTTAGCTGTTATCCCATCTTGGGATGTTGAAGTTGTTCCCAGGTTGCAGGGGTGTGCAACCCACAGCCCACAGGCTGCATGCAGCCCAGGATGGCTATGAATATGGCCCAACACAAAATCGCACATTTACATAAAACCTTTTTTCATGCTCATCAGTTTTTGTTAGTGTTTGTGTGTTTAATGTGTGGCCCGAGATGACTCTCCTTCCAGTGTGGCCCCGAGACGCCCAAAGGTTGGGCACCCCTGGGTGGACCCATTGCCCGTGATGGATAACACTCTGTGTATAAATGCTTGTAACCATTTTTTTATACTGTTGGGATAAATGTCTAAACATAAACCTCTGGGATCCAAAAATATAAGTTGTAGTATAGTCCTTGATATATTTTCCCAAATTACTTTTCAGAAAAGTCATACCATTTTATATTCCTATGAGAAGTATATGCAAATGCCTTAATTCCTGCATTCTGGCTCATCATTTTATTACAATGAAAACATAAAACCACTAATATTTATCTGGTACTTAGTGAACGTGTCTGAGTGTCTCCAGGTGAGACTCAGTTTCAGTTCTGCTGAGATTCTTGGCCCCACGGGTGCTTGGGCTTCTCTGCGGTGAGACTCCGATGCAGTGTGTGGAGGCCCCTTTCCTTGTAGCTCTGATCCGTGGACCGAGGACAGCTTCTGGTCTGTCCAGTGCTGCCCACTTGCCCTCCATCAGTCCCCGATTGCCAGAAGTCCCTTGGATGTCATTAAGGACATCTCGCGATGGAAATGGAACTGCTGTGTGTCTTCACACAGGGACATAAATCATGGGAGCCGATGAGACAGATCCTAGAAGTGGTGATCAGGGAATGAGGCGACCTTGATCTACCACTTATTAACTATGCACTCTGGCTAATGTCTCTGAAGCTGAGGGTCTTTCAAATGTCTTGCTTGAACTGGGGATGGTGGGAACATTATTACCATGCTGTGCTTATAACCAGTGACTCTGGCATCTCTGAATGAGCTCTAATGATTGCCTGAATGTTTTGTGCAAATTTTTTACTACTTTCTGAATTTGTTTTACTTCCACAGAATAACCACGTAACTCAAACAAATTCCAATGCAAATACTTGTTAATTAGTATATATTCAAAACCCCAAATTTAACTGAGTATTTTTCCTTTCGCTGTGAGACTCATAACAAGTGCCTGGTTTGTTCCATTTTCTGGGACTTTCTGCCCTTCTGGGCATCAGTGGGACACAGTGGAAGCAGCAGGCAGACTTTTCTTAGGTTCAGTGCTGAGCTTCCCTGGGTAGCAGCTCTCAACCTCAACTTCTTCATCAGTGAAACAGGAATGATAATCCCCACCTAAGGGGGTCAATTTGAGGGTTCAGTGAGGGAACACACATGTAGGGGCAAGCTCAGAGAATAGCATGTAACTGCTCCTCAGTAAGTGCTAATACAGAAAGCTAGTGAGCAGATGTTGTGGAAAAAGTGATTTTGAATTCTAGAATGTTGTTGGGAGAGGATTTTTTAAAATTATGATTTGCTTGTAGATTTAGTAACTTCTTGCCAAATTGAGGCCTTTCTAGGTCTGGTGTAATTAACAGAGGTTAATTACTATATTTAATTAAAATGGGATAGGTCCTGCTAAAATTTTTAAATAAGATTTATTTTTTTTAGGTAAACATATGTGTGGCAACACTTCTCAGATACACTAGTGCAAAGGTAGTTAGCTTAGTCCTGGTCCAGAATTGCACAAATCTGAATTGTTGTGGTATATTATATATTTGAAAGCAGTTAGAGTATTTCAGGAATTTTACACAAAAATCATAATCTTCATGAAATACATCATAGCCATCATTAATAATGTTTTCTTAAAGTTTGGCCCTTGTGCATGTGTTTATAGGTAAAAATTTTAGCTGTGAACTAACTCCGAATTGATGGATATAACTAGACTTTTTGCAGTGATCATTTTGAAATACAAATATTGAATCATCATGTTATACACCTGAAACTAATATAAAGTTATATGTCAATTATATCTCAATTAAAAAAACTAATGTATGCAACGTTATTTTAGTAGCAGTCTCTCCTCAGAAGCAGTTTTCTGACTTTTTAAGTTTTGTGTCTATTTTTGCAGGAGCTGACCGGTGCTTTGGTGCATATAAGGTTGCATCTTTTCATTCAGATCTTTACACTTGCGTTCTTCCCAGCAACGATATGGCTTTTTCTTCAGCTTCTATCAATCACACCGATCAATGAATGGCTTTTAAAAGGGTATGTTTAAGTATTTTGAACAGTTCGTTTTTAATGGGACATTTTTAGTGACATTCTTGTCTCTGCAGCAACTATATATAAAAGGGCCTATGTGTAGTACCTTTTAAGAAAACAAAAACACTTTTAACATTATTAATAACCTTTAAAATGAGTGTTTCATCAGGGAGGTCCATCAAAGAATTTTATAACAGAATCTTAAAATAACACCCATATGCTTAGCTGTAAGTTTCTGCGGGAACACTTCCCTGGGAATTTAAAAGCGTTGTGTTGGGAGAAAAATAAAAGGGACCAGAGCAGGGGTGTCAAAGTCATTTTCACTGGGGGCCACATCAGCCTCATGATTGCCTTCAAAAGCCCGAAGTAATTTTAGGACTATATAAATGTAACTACCCCTTAACTGTTAAAGAATTGAAATTACGTTCGGCCCTTTGAAGGCAACTGCAAGGCTGATATGGCCCCCAGTGGAAATGAGTTGGACACCCCTGGACTAGAGGCTGTGTGATGGGCGTGGGTGTGTAAGTGTAGGCTGTCAGTCGGGTGCTTTAGCTTTTGAATTGTATCTTGCCAAACGTATACAGATAATGGCTGGGGGAAATGTGCTTTTAAAACGTATACGGAGGACAAAATATATACAGGGGACAAGCATGTAACTTTTTACTTCTGTTGCATGTTTGGTTGGACAGTTGAATTAACAATAGATTTTCATGAGAAATTCTCCCATTAAAAATGTGGCCATGTTAATTTAAAGAATTTAATGATTTTTAAGGAATATTTGAATTGGTTTAAATCTGACTGTACAGCTTGAAGACGGCACGCTGACCCTGTCCCTAACTGGCTGTTTGACTTTGAGAAAGGCATTTAATAGTTTTGAAACTCAGTTTCCCAGTTTATAAAGTGAAGATAATCCTACTTTTACTGTCTGCTTAGCAACAGGGTCAGGGATGTCAATTGAGTCATTCATTTAGCGCCTGTGTGCCAGGAATCAGTAGAGGTACTGGAAAACCAACAGTGAACAAGACTGGCCAAGAGACAGTTAGTTTTGCACATCAAAGAGACTGGGTGTGATTTTCAGTAAACAAGCAACTAGATGATCAAAGTGATGTGAAGTGAGACACTGGATACGGTTGAAAGTGTTCGGGTACAGGGGCCAGTGATTACAATAGATTGTTTCTTCTGGGAGCAGAGTGTTCCAGGCAAAGGAAGCAGAACGTGCAAGGGCTCCAAGGCAGGGACAGGCATGGGGTGTTCTGGGGTCAGGAAAGCAACTAGAGCCTGGTGATACGGAGAATGAATCCTATGAGTCAGAGTTGCAAAGGCAGGCAGGAGCCAGTCACTCGGGGCATTGCAGGTTTGGGAAAGCAGTCAGGTTTTATTCTGAGTGCTGCAGAAAACTGCTGCCGCTGGAGTTACATGAGAAAGTGGTGTTGTTGTCTGATTAATATTTGCAAGTGATTCTCTTGGCCACTCTACAGAGAATAGACAGTAGAAGGGCCTGAGAGAAAGCCAGGAGACCAACTGAGAGGCTAGTATGGTGTAGCAGCGCAGGAGGGAGAAATGGATGTGTAAAGGATGGATTCCAAAATCAGCATTCTCAGAATGCATAGATGAACAGGATAGGGAGAGAGGAGGACAGGGAGGAATCGAGGATAACTTCTGGATTTTGGGCATGAGACACTGGGTAACTGGTGACATCCTTTACTTAGCTGGAGAGAAGTAAGTTAGGACAAGAGGGGAAAATCAGGAGTGCTATTTTGGTCAAATTGAATTTGAGAGGATGGTCATAAAATTTTCCTGGAAAGCATAAATGCCATAAATACGATGACATCACTTTAGAGCAAAATGTCCGGAGTGGGCAAAAGTAGCTTTATAGTTGTCATATAAATAAATAATAAAATAATTAATAAATAATAATGTAAGAATACACTCTGTTTCATGTGCACACAGCTGTAAACATACTTTTGCTCACCTCTGTAGAATGTGTATTAAGAACCAATAGTTACTCAGTATCTGCCATGTATATAGAGCACTAAGAAATAGGAAGATAATAACTCATTTTTCTTGTTTCAGGGAACTTCCAATTTAGTTAGGTATGTAGGACATGTACGTAACATAGTAATCAACCAAAATGGGGCAGCACATGGTATGTCGGGTGAGTGGTGTAATCGGATAGAGAGTAAGAGGTTCTGCAAGGGTTACGTACACCTACAGCAGAGAATTCAAACAGTTCATTCAGCAGAGACATTACTGGGAGAAAAGATAAAGAGTTTCATTTGGGCCAGCTTGCAGGAGACCAGAACTACTGAATCTGCAGATGATGGAGGGTGCTTAAGTGTGCTAAACGAGAGAATGGCATGCCAAGAAGTGGTCATTAAGGAGGACTGATCTGCTAGTGTCGCTAGTGTCATGTGGGGTATATAGATGTATAGATGGCATAGAGCAGGGCTTGCACTCTCACTCACTCCGCTGAGTAAATGAGCACACACCTCTCACCTCCGGACACTAAGCTTAAAGGAGCATGAACTTGGCCTAACATAATCAGGGAATGCGCTTCTTGGCTTACTTTTTCCCCTCCCTTGCCCCAATTTGAGATATATACTTAGTACATTAACTTTAAGGACTTGCAGACTCCTATGGCAGGATCGTGTTTAAGTCATTGAAATAAATATGCTCTGAGCACATACTCCTTACGTTGCTGTGTTGAAGGGGAAGACTGGGGGTAGAGAGAGCATTCCGTAGGCATTTGGATGTGTCCAGACTTGGGGGAATCTCATCTGAAGGGGGATGATGGCAAGTGGTCATAGAAGAGTGACAAGTTGTGGTGATTGATGAGGAGTGAGTGGAACCTCACATAACTCCAGTTTCAAACTGGAACCATAAGGAAAATGCTATAATGCCATTGATAAAAATAGGTCAATTAAGAGTAAAATTAATTTTTTTAGAAAATACATAAATCTGGCCCTGGCTGGGTAGACCAGTTGGTTAGAACATCCTCCCAATATGCCAAGGTTGTGAGTTCAATCCCCTGTCAGGGCACATACAAGAATCAACCAATGAATGCATAAATGACACAAAAAACTGATGCTTCTCTCTCCCTGCCCCTCCCTCCTTTCCTCTCTCTCTCTCTAAATCAGTAAAAAATTAAAAAAAAGAAAATGCATAAATTTAACATTAGGCATGTTTAGTTTAAGGTAGCAATTATAGACAGGTACGAATTAAGGAATGGAACTTAGGAATAGAAATGTAAGTTTGAAAGTATCCCTACAGATTCAAATGTGAATATAAGATTGTGAAGAAGGAAGGAAAGACAGCAAAAAAACTAAAATGAGCTTGTTTAAAAGATAGGAGATAAATTAGATTGATGAGGTACCATGGTAACCAAGAGACTAGAGTGCATTGAGAAACAAGAAAGAAAGAAGAATGAATACGGGGAAACTGATACTGGATTTGGTGGGTAGGAGATGCCTGGTTAAGTAAAAGTTACTTAAGATGACTTTTACTAGTAGAAGGGGTGTAAGTCCCATCCCGGGGGAGTAAAGAGAGAATGGGCTTTTGGGTCATGGGGGTGGAGTGCATTGTGAAGGGTGATGGTGAGTCGCAGTGAAAAAGTAGGATTATGTCTTGAGGAGGTAACAGCACTAATTCAAGGTTAATTATCTATAGTTATGTGTTCAGTCTTCTGAATTTATGTGTTAAAGGTAGGAATGATACCTCATGCTTTTTTTATACCCTTGTGTGGTATCCTACATCTAAAAGGCATAAGTATTCCATAAATAGTTTAGGGATTTTTTTTTGTTTCAGATAGGGAGAACTCTGCTTTTTTTGTATATAGCAGGGAAAGGGCCAGAAGAGAGGGAAAGATCAAAAACACTGAAAAATCGAAACTATCTGAGAGGACCTATTCCTAGAATTGGTGGCAGCGGGGGTGGAAGGCAGAGAGGCTGGAGGTAAGGCAGGTCCTTGACCCTGGATTCCAGAGTAAAAGTTTAACCCTAGTCAGGCAGCTTTGTGAGTTTAGGCAAGTTATTTAACTTGCTTCTTAATTTCAGTTTTCAGTAAAATGATGATAATAATAATAGCACTTATCTGAAATACTACTGAGGAATAAGCGAGTCAAGTGTCTAGAACAGTATCTACTGCAAATGGTAAATGCTTATTAGTAACTTAGTGATGAGGACGGTGATAATCATAAGGAAGGCTCAGAGACTGGGAATTCCTCATCGGGCGGACTACGTCAGCATCACTTGGGTGCTAGGAAACCGTCCTTAAAGGGAGACCCTATTGAATTGAACTGAGCTGGAAATTCCATAAAAGTTGTTTTCTTATATGTTTTCTGTCAAAATGAATTAAAATTTATTTTTCTTTTTTAAATTTCAGAGCTAATGTAAATCCATTGTATAAAGTTTAAATAATGCATCATTACGAACGTGAATAAAAATTACTTGTAGTCTTACATTCAAAATGTTAGGCAGACACTCTGAGCCCTCCGTGTCCTGTCCGAACTCCCTACTTCAGTCAGGCCTGTTGCTCCCCGAGTGCTGAGGAGCGCTTCCATCCCCAGCACTCCCATCGGCTGCGTGTCGCCTTGTGCGCTTGTCCTGCAGCGTGTCTTCTACCCCGAACCAGGAGGGCAGACTTCTCGTCATGATCTGGGTATTAAAGTCAAAGGTTAGACTAGACGCTAGAATTTATTACAGTCTGAGTCCAGGAAGTGCGTGATTGCATCATGCCCGTTTCTATAACGGTGTTCTAACAACACGAGAATGCCTGTCGTGAGATGAAAGTTTGAGAACTGCTGATTTATAGAGAGGGATCAGCAAATGTAGCTTGTGTTTTGTTAAGTATTTTTGAACTTTCGAAGTGGTTTTAAAATTATATTTTTGCCCAAAGACTTTCTACAAAAAAATGTGCAGAAAAAATACCTGAAAATAACCTCAGATCAAAAATTATATACTCTTACCAAATAATTAACCATTTTGTTTTCCATTGACTATGCTTCCTGTAATTTGGGTTTTTTTTTTGAATTACATAATAAGAGCTTAAATAATTTTAAGAATAAAATCTCCGGGGCCTGGGAATGGAATGAGAGCTTTCCCATGCGTTTGCAGCGTCTTCTGAGCCATGTTGCCTCATACAGAATTGTCTGCACTCAACAGGGCATGTGCAGGAAGAATCTCTCTCCTATTTTCATTTACTCAGCTCTGCTATTTTGGAATGAGTGTAGTGAAAACTGTTTTTGGCTTAAAAAACCACTATTTATAATTGCATCTTCTTTTTCAGTTTGCAGACTGTAGGCTGCATGCCTCCCCCTGTGTCTTCTGCAGTGATTCTAACCAAGGCGGTCGGTGGAAATGAGGTGAGTCATAGGGCTAACTCTGTTTCAGTAGAAATGGGCGCTGTGCTTTTCTTTTTATATTCTATTTTATGACGAAGGGGCCATGTCACATGCATAACCATAGCAGCTTATGACAGAAGCTTGTGTATTTATATATTAGGATGATGCTAAAATTGACTATGATGAGTAGAATTGGAGATTTCAAAGAGAAGAGCAAGGGAGGTGAGTGATGTAGGGTGGTGATTTTTCTGCCTTGGGGGAAACCAGGAGATGAGACGTGGAATCCAAGGAGAGTGACTTCTCACCCAAGACTCTTGAACTGACACATCCACGAACTGAGGACGCCCGCCACAGCCATTCCTTAGTTCTTAAAAAAAAAGTTGTAACAAATTACATTCATGGAAAAGGGCCAGTAGAAGTTTAGTGGTTAGTGAAAATGATATACAAAGGAGAAATAAGGCCAGATTTTTAAGATAAGTTCAGAGAAATTACCCAGCTGCTAGGGGACTGTGGCATAAGAAGATGGTTTGTGTATTGGGACAGCAGTTGCTTGTATGTTGGGACAGCACTTGTCCATTTCAGGAGCTACTGGCAGGTGGTTCTTCCGGGCTGAAAGGCATACAACTTTATACCAGGGACTTCGCTTCATAGTAGTCTACTCCTCCATTTCCACTTACACCCCACCATTCAGGAAAGGATACTATTGAATAAGGGAAGACAAGACATCAGGGGTTGCCACCTCAATTCTTTCTTAGGATTTTGGTTTTTCTGCATCTTTTTTTATTGTCATCCACTTTATTCATTCCCAAAATATTTCTTGATCACTTGCTACATCCTTTTTAACAACAGGTTTATTGAAGTATTATTGACATACAATTAACTGCACAAATGTACACACTTTAATGTTTTGACACACGTCTGTATCTGTGAAACCATCACTGCAATGAAGACCGTGAGTGTGTCCAGCACCCTCAAAGGTCTCCTTGCACTCCTGATAATCCCCCTGCCTGTCCTTCTGAGCCCCCCCTTCCTCCCGGCAACCACACATCTGTTTTCCATTGCTGTGCATTAGTTTGCATTTTCTAGACTTTTATGTAATGAAATCATACAATGTGTACTCTTTATTTTTTCTTTTTACTCAACATATTTGAAGATTCATCTATATTGTGTGTATCAATAATTCATTCCTTTTTATCGCTGAGTTGTATTATTTTGTACAGATATGCCAAAATTTGTTTATCCATTCACTTGTTGATGGACATTTGGGCAGTTTTGACTTTGGGACTTTGAACATTTATGTACAAATAAGTGGACACATACTTTCAATTCTCTTGGGAATATTTAGTGCAATGGCTGGATCATCTAGTAGGTGTGTGTTTTAGTACTTTCAACCAAGGCAAGAAGCACAAATAAATAGTTGTAAATCATCTGTAAATAGCTTCTGCAGTGAACCATTTCTATTACTTTATGGGCACTTTCCTTGTTACCAAAAGTGCATGTATAACTTTTTAAGAAATTGCCAAAGTATTTTCTAAAGTTGTTGCACATTCTACATTTCAAGCAGTTGTGTCTGAGAGTTCAGCGCCCATATTGCACCAGCTCTTGGTTCTGTCGGCCGTTTTAATCTTAGCCATTCTAATATGTGTGTAGTGGTATCTTGCTGTGGCTTTCATTTAGTTGGCATGTCCCAGTGACTAGTAAAGGTGAGCATTATGAACTTTCCATGTGCTTATTTGCTGTCCAAGTTTTTTTTGATAAAATGTCTATGAAATCTTTTGCTTTTTTAAAAAATAGATGGAGTATTTTGTTTTCCTATTGATGAGATTTGAGCATTTTCTATATTCTGGATGCAAGTCCCCTTTATCAGATATATGCTTTTTAAGTATTTTCTCCTAGTGTATGGCTTGTTTTTTTTTTGTTCTTTTGTTTTTTTGTTTTTTTTCAATTTCCTACCAGTGTCTTTCTGAAGAGCAGGATGGTAGTGGAGGCACGGAAATGTGGTTGGATTCCTGATGTATTTTGCAGGCACCGGGTGTGCTGATGAATTGGGTGTGGGGTGTGAGAGAAGCAGAGGCATTAAGAATGACTTCAAGGTTTTTGACTGAGCAGCTGAAAGGCCGGAGTTGCCGATGGGGAGATGAGTACCATGCGAGAGTAGGTTTGGCAGTATCAGCCTGGGTGAGAACTAAGAATGCCAAAATCTCGATGGCCAACTATATAGGTTCATTTCTTGCTCATGGTACACGTCCCCTGTGGATCCCTTGGAAGGTCTTTGCCATCACTAAGGAAGCTTTGTTAGTAGAAAGTGCACCATTTGGTCGGTGCACCATTTGGCCGGAACACAGAGCATTTTCAGTTGCCACAGTGGGAAAGAGAGAGATTGGAGAGTCACAGATACTTTCCACCAACCAGGCGGGAAGTGATACATGGCACTTCTGCTCACATTAAAAAAGCCGGGACAAGTCATGTGGCTTTACCATGTGTTGTCGTTGATGTGCCCTAAAGGAGGAGGGAACTGGGTCATGCCACCCATATGGGTAAAGATCAAGAGTTTGTGTTTTCGTTGTGTTCAGGTGCCTGTTACATATCCAAATAGACATGTCGGAAAGCAACTAGATACAGAGCTGAAGTTCAGGTCTAAGCTGGAGATATGAATTAGGGAGCCATCAGTGCAGAAATGGCATTTGCAGCCAAGATTGGGTGAGATTACTTGGGGAGAGAGCACGGATAGAAAAGAGAGGCAGGTCTGCAGCCCTCCGACAATGAGGAGTCACAGCGAAGGCAATATAGAAAACATAACTAGTGAAATGGAGAGAAAAATCAGAAAGCATGTCATCCTGGAAGCCAAGTGATGGGAGCGTCTGAAGGGCGACAAGGGATCAGCTCCATCAAATTCTGCGGAAACGACTCATGTAAGATGAATTCTGAGAATCCACCTTGAATTTGGCTATGTGGAGGTTCCTGGTAGCCTTGGCCGCAGTGGTTTTGGTAGAGTGTAAGGGCAAGTGCTTGTTTGGAGTACGTTCATGGAAAGACGGGAGGAGAGGGATTAGAGACCAGAGCACAGACGTCTGTTTTGAGGTCTTTTGTGTAAAAGGGAATAGAGAAATGGGGCCATTTTTAGAGGGGAATGTGGGGTCAGGATTTTTTTTTTTAGTGCGGAAATGACCACATGTTTCTATTGTGATGGGAATTGTACAATAGAGAGGGAGCTGTCGATGTATGGGAGGGAGTGCTGGAGCCCTTTATTTGGGCAAGTCGGAGAGAATGGTGCTGGGTCATATGAGCTTCAGTAGGACTTGGATTGTGGATTCATACTAACGGGAGGGCAGGCAGAGTGTGTGCACACAGATCCCCATAGATGGGTGGAGGGGTGCACTCGGGAGTTCTGTTTATATGGCGTGTCTTCATCCCTATCGAGCATTGGGGAGTGAGATTCAATTTGTCATAAATATCAAAAGTTGAGCTTCAGAAACGACACTTGCAAAATCCAGTTTAGTCATATCCTCTGCTGTGAAATGAAGAGACTGTTTTATACTTATGTCAGAATATGGAAGAAAATGATCTACAAGTAAAAATATTAGATAATTTTAAGTTTAATCTTTTCTAAAATAATGGTATAAGGTAACTGAATATAAGCTTTTGTTGAAGTAAATTTAAGAGAAGATTAATCTAGTCTGCAGACAGAGAGTGAATTTATTGGTTCATGTAAAAGAAAAGGTCCAATAGCTGAATCCAGTGTCCCGTGCCGTTGGGTGAAAGTTTGAGTCTGCTTCTCTGAGGTTCTGCGTTCCGTGTGGCAGACAGCGGCTTTGTACCCACGTGGGTTTCATTCAACACGGTAGAAAAATTGGTGGGGTGCATTTCCGTGTCCTTTCAAACTGACTATTCTTTGCAGTGTTTATAACATGTAAGAAACACTCTTTTCTTCCAGACTTGTGTTACTAAACTTCCAAACATGCAGTTGATGTCCTCATATGTTTATATATACATCTTTAATGTATATACACATTTAGTGTGTGCCCGCAGGTATGAAAGGACATCTGCGATCATGTAGCATATTTGTACTTAACAATTTGGGGGTTGTATGCAGATATAATAGTGTTATTTGAAATGATTCTCTTAGTTTTATTTTGCAAAGCTGTTATGTAACATAGGAAGAAATTTTTTCTGTTACTAATATGCCTGTCATTTTAAAGGCCTTTTCCATAAAATTGTTGGTTACCAAAAGGTTTTGTCATGGACAGAAAGTTATTGCATCCTTTAAACTCACAGACTGTATGTACTTTGGCGAGAAATAGCCTTATTACCTTTTGTTAAAGTTATAAAACAATTTTTGTTTTTATAATGTAGGTATTTTTGTTTCAGGGAGCCAACTAGGATTTACAAGAATTTTTAGCAGCAGAAGGAACTCAGCGTGAGTGCGTGACAGTGCACATGTGCTGGAAGGCTAGCGTGTCCCTTAGGTGTGCAAGGGAGAGTGAGCAAACAAGCAAAACGGCAGCGGCTGATGCATAGATAGAGAGAAGACCACGGCTATGGGTGGCGAGGGGGGGGAGGGGGATGGTGGTGGTTGGGGGTGGAGGGACTGAGCAAGAAGGAAAAGGGACTCGTGGTCACGGACAGCAGTGTGGTGGCTGCTGTGGGGAGGGCACATGAGGGGACTAATTAGTAATGAAAAAATACAAAAAGATTAAATTTTAGAAAAAAAAAGAGAGACTGCTTAGGGTCTTTCTGTTTACTGACAGTCTTACTTTGTGGCTTTAAAGTTTTAAACTACTTTTATTTAAATGTTGGGAACATGGTTAGGTTCTTTTTTTGTGATTGTTAGTTACTCGTTCCGGTATTTCAAACGGAATTTCCAGAAGCGTGCCGTGGACTCGGTCTCGCGGACGGCGGTGCCGCCGGTGCGTGTGTTGTGCGTGTGCGGCTTCGGTTCTGTCCGTAAATAATACAAAAGGAAGGGCTGGGCGAGACCTCATTTTAGTCCTAAGTGTAAGAAAGAAGGCAGATCACAGCGT